GGGGGGGGGGGGGGAAATCGCAGGAAGCGCGGGCGATGCGGAAAGGTGCAGGAGACTGTGTTGGGAGTATGCTTTGCAAGGACTCTCTATGTCGGACCAAACGCTTTGTCGCTCTGCAGACTGTTAAGCCAGGGCTCTTTCCCTGCGGTGCTGGGGTTGGGGGCGGAGATCTGCACAAGACGCCTGGCTGAGACAGACACTGAAGGAGAACTCGAGTCGCGTGGTACCTGAAAATTCTGGGTGGCTCAATAATCACCTTGTCGCATCACCCGCAATACAACACGCCCTAGACTCTCCATGTTGACCTCGACGTGTTGGAATTGGCGCCATTCCTCGCAGCAAGACATTGACAGGCACAAACCGCCAGTGTTACTCTTTTCTGGTCAATGCAAACCTGCGGAAAGCAGATACGCTCCTACGCACGAGGATTGCTGACTCTGCAATGGTGCTTGGCAAAGCAGAACACTGCACTGATGGTTGTGAAGATTAACATCGTCTCAATTGACAAAGGTTGGCTATGGCTATGGACCTTGAGAAGAGGCGACCTGGCAGGACGCCTTGCGCCGTAGAGGAGTCATCTGCCTCTGCGGAAGAGAGACGACGAGAAGCTCCAAGGTTCCCTAGGGGTCAAGCACTCATTGGGTGAAAGTCATGATTTTGCTGCTGGGGGAAAGGCAAGCGAATACAACAGCGTTCTATGAGGCACGCGCAAGAGCGCGATACTCACGTCGAATATAGAATCCGTGTGAGCGTCCTGTGCCTGCGGATTGCGTTGTCATGACGAATTTGCTCCGGGACTGTTGGGCCCACATCGCAGCCGAAATGCGGGACCTTGTCGGAGACAACCCTCTCTTGCCCCATCCTTTTTGCGCCCTTTGCATTCCTAAAGAAGTCAGCGTCCAGCCTGAAGAAGGGGATCTCCTGTCGGTGGACTCTGCGTGTTGCTAGCCTGTCGAACGGGCATGAAAACTCGCTAGTAGCCTTTTGTTTTTGAACTCGAACTTGAATGCCTCGACTCCATGCTGGGTGATCTTGGTTGTTGGCGGCGTCGTCCATCAGGAAATCATACGTCTTCCGATCTTTGCATATCGAGAAGATGCACGACTCCATGCTAACCATTACGGCACCCTCGCAGAGTGACACGGAGTCGGGCATGAGCCTGTGTAGTCGATATAACACGGGATCCAGGATGTGGGTTTTAAGCAGGAATAACTGCTGAAACAACTGCGCTGTCTGGCTTAACTGGCTGATCTCGATAAGCCCCTTCACATGAGGGGTCCGGCCACTGAGGAAATCGGATGGGAGACCCGCCCTACAACCTTCGTAGAGTAGTGCGTTCACAGAGGTAGCTGCTGCACCAAGGATCGCAACAATCGGCCAGGTCCCTGCGCTGGCAACCAACTGTGCCAGAGCCAGCCCCTCCATTCGTGGCCTACCTGTCTTTCCAGGCGGATGAAGGTGGTGTCGCTGTCGAAACAGAACACCAGCAAGTCGCAGGACGAGGGCTTTGATATGTGCTGCTCCGCCTGCTTGATCGACGCGTGTCGCACCAAGTAGACTGTCAATAGACGTCCTTGCTTCTGCAAAGGTCTTGACACCCATGCTTGGGACCGCTCGACCCTCCTGGTCTATCAAATCCTGCCAAGCGGTCAAAACGGTTTGCACCGCTCGATCCACACTCAAACTGGGCTGACCCTTCTTTGCACTCCACGTATGCGCTGAGATGCACACGAGGACTTCCACAAAGGCGCTGGCAAAGGTTTCAGCCTGGGGGTGGGCCTGACAGTATTCCATTACCAAAGATTTGAACTGCAGCAGAGTTGTAGGCTGGTCCCCTTCATGGGACCCGGATGCCTCTGGCACCAACTTCACAAGCGCCGCTCTTTCCAACGCCCTTCTCTCGGCACGACAATGCAAAGAGGCCATATTTTTGGTGATCACCGATAATTGCCTCTGACTTACGAGTTGCATCCTTTCAAAAGTCCAGCATTTATTCCCCCTACTCTGCCCGGGCCCCACCTTTGGGGCCCAAACGCTTGCGGCCCTTCCTCTGACCGGCCCCTGCTTTTTTGAGAACTCCACGCTTGCTCCCCTTGCTCTGTCCCGCCCCGGCCCTGCTCGGCAGCCTTCCGGCAAGATCTGAAGCGCTGTCGACCTCTTGGAGGATGCCTCGCCGCTTGGCTTCTCCTCGCGCAGCCGCACTCCTGCAAGGTTGCCCAGAGGCATTTGCCACGCTTGCCTCCAGGTCATCCGCTGATCCAGACCCATCTGCCTGCGCACTTGAAGTATGATTGGGCCTAACACGCTGGCCTCCCACTGGTCGCCACGTTGCCGGGCCACTACAATAGACCTCGCTTTCCTCCTCAGCCATCTGCTGAGGGCCTGTTGCCGACATCTGAGTCTCAAGGGAGCTTGCGGCCAACTCTGGTGTAAGGTACTCCTCACAAAAGAACGCCCCTTTGCCAAGTACCGCCTCTGCTGTGCCTGCTTCTAGGGAGACCCCCTGATCAACTCTCTGAGCCGGCAATGCTGCTGCCCAGACCTCTGTCCGGTCGAGTGCGGGGAATGCAGAGATGATGCGCGCCACCACCGGGATTGCCTCAGCAAGCGATTGCTGTAATTGGCCCCAAGCTGACCCCAACACAAGCTTTGTCTGCAGAGTTTGGCGGCCGGTAACACCAGCATGCGGTCGTGATACCGTCCATAGGAGCACGCTGGGATCTTCTGGAGCAACGGTGCCTATCCAACATGCGGCACTTGAATTTGTGTTGGTCATTGCGAGGGACGGGCCCTAACCCTTTGTGGAAAAGCCGGAGCAGCAGTGGTATCTGAGATTGCAGTTTGTGGATGTGACAAGGACCACACCCGCAGGATGGTGTGCCGTGGTCGTGGTCCTGGGCAGTCTGAGTGATGCGAACCGATTCTGCCAATGAGTGACACAGAGGACAGTTTGTGAGAGGGCCGCAAATTCCTACTGCAAGCTGGAGTGTCGTGGCTGTATGCCGGAGAATCCAAGGCAATAGAGGGCAGCTGGGCGACCTTACTCCGCCAGTGTGCGACAAAGAGTGCAATTTGTGTAGAAGGCGTTGTCGATGGAGGGATTGTTCTGAGGATTGTGATGGGACAGGTCAATCGAGCGGCCTATTTCCGCTGGACAATGTGACCATTCTGGCGGGATGGCGGATGCGCCCTTCCCCCCACCTGCGCGTACGAGGGCAGTCGGAGATTATTATGATTACTCTTGACGCCTACATCCAAATTTGACCAACAACAAATTTAGTATTTTCTCTTTTATTTAATTTGTAGTTGGCCACGCACACACCACGCACTGCGCCGGGCTACTGAGATACGCGGAACAAGCACAGGAACGTGCGCAATTCTACCAGGGAGCTGCTGCAGGCTACTTACTGCATGGCTTCAAACCCGCCCGGTAATGACCGCGCTCACGCCCGCGTGCGTGGCTATGCAGGTGAGGCACCATAGCGGTGTCTCCTGCCATGCAGCTTTGCGTGGGCCCACACACCCCAAACCACCATCCCTGCGACCTTGCGCGCCGCCCACTGTAGTCACACCAACAAATTGACGCTCAAGGCACGATCACATCGCACATCCAAAGCAAGTTGCTGCCACAAGCCAAGTCGGGGCGCAGGTTAACAGATACAGTATCCGGCTTGTGGATATGGCAGCGGCAAAGACCAAGCCGGGGCGAGGGACTCCAGGCCGCGCACAAACGTGCGTGGGAGCGCATGTTCATACAGCCAATCTTTGTCGCCTGGGCAGAGACAACAGCCAGCCCAAACCACGGCACAAAGCAATAATACACAATCATGCCCACGCACACATCACTGCAGAGGCGATGGTGGGAGGCGAGGCACCTTGTAGCCAGCGGCACACGACCCCACACCGATAAGACATCTCTCTCTGTGCTGCCTAGAGGCCGCCTCCTGGAGCAACTGTGCGGACAGGCCCTTTTGGCACTGGTGAGGAACCAAGGGGCGGATTTCCTGACTAGAGCAGATACACGTGAGTTAATGTGTTGCCCTCAGGCAATGGGGGGGCCTGCAAGGACCCCGCTCACGAAGCGGGTGGACATTGCGTATCGAGATTTGGGTCATGCCGAGATACTCCTATGAATCGAACGTGCCAGCACAGCGCTGTGCCTTTTTGAGGGTGCGGATTGCACCCGGAGGACTTTCAGCACACCACCACTCCTGTGCGGGCGTAGCTAGTCGACTAACAAGCAATATTCTGACCCCTCCAAATGTCGCGGTGTCACCAAGGTGACCCCTTTCCTGTGGATCCCTTCATGTCACCGGACAGATGACAGGAATGGTGGACGACTGTTGGTTCAGCACCTGCCAAGGACACCACCTCGGAAGAATCCCAAACCTTTCTGTCCTCCCACTGTGCCTGATGTCGACCCTGCATACGCAAGACTACGTGAGCTGCCTTGCAAGCAGCCCGGACAGGCGCACAGTTGGCAACCTTCATGTAATCCAGTGTCCTCTGCACAACACCAGTGTCCTAACGTTGTCTGTATTCATGGGCTTGTGTCGGACGAGGCTGAATGCATCCCATCAGAATGGCGGATGACCCTGAATACTCCTGCACACAAGCAATTTGTATGCGGCAAATACAACGTCACCGTTTGTCGACTGCTGGATCTGGGCACGCACAACTCTTCCAGTCTTGGCCGTTATTGCGAGCAGGGGCTGGCACCTCTGCGCATAGTAAGGACATGCCGGGGAGGAAAGCACATTGTTCTTGACTCTCAGGGCCGACACTTTGCCACCATCAACTGGGCAAATGTCTCCCCACTTGATGCCTTGGCCATTCCTGACTGTTTGGTACAGCCAGCACACACATCGTCTCGGCAGCCTCCCTCGCAGCCCCAACGCCCTTCTATGGTGGTTGAGATCCCGGTCAGAGCGCGGGCTCACCATACCACCGCACCTTTGCCCTCTATACCACGACAGCTGGCAGAAGCGGCACCGCGCCTTTTCAAATGTCCTCCGACTAGTCAAACAAAGGGGCGCAGGGGGGTCCGCAACTTTGGGACTCACAACTTCGAACTTTCACCCGTCACCTGGAAGAGGCAGGTTGCAATGATCCAAAGCTGCTTCAAGGCCATCCCAAAAACTACCAACCGTCAACAGCGTGCCTTGATCATGGACAATCTGCATCTCTGGGCATCCACTTTGACCCTTCCTGCACAAGCCATTGAACGGCGACGGGCCTACAATGTCGGAACAGTCCACTGCCAGCTCCGTCTTCACTCTGAAGCCATCTACAAACAACTCAATATCAATCGCCACTTTGCCGACAATCTACCGCTCACCGGGCCTTACCTGTTTGGAAGGACTGTCACTAGGGTGCTCAAGCGCATGGCCGACACATTCGCCTTTGGACACGGAAAAGTTTATCGGCGGTACTTAGAACCACTCCGCCACCCCGATGTCCGCGGTGCCCACATGCCCATTTGGCAACGGGAAATCTGGTGCCGTCCGACTCACATCCAGAGGCAGATCCAAACAAGAGGACTTCTACTGGCGGCACCGTGGGCATCCATGGCGGTCAACATGCCGGCCCAGGAAACTTGTATGGAGCCACACGTGGACGACCACAATGCTGAGTGGGGCCTCTGCACGATCGCCTCGGCCGGTCACTACACCGGTGGCAAACTCATCATCCACCCTGCGGACATCCAAATTGCGACCAGACCAGTCATTGATACGGTGAGCTTTCCCTCCGCCAAACTTATACATTCAAACACGCAGGCTACTGTGTACCGCATGTCCATGATCGGCTCCACAAGCTCCAATATTCTCGGGCATCTTGCAACCCTACCTGCCCTCGATGACTACCCTCAATGGCCTGCACATTTTTGGCAAGACTAATCTGCAAGTGTGTCGCGCCGCGCGCGCATGCATGTAAACACCCGCCTGCATACACACTCTCTCACTCATCTCCACCATCACCGAATCCGATGACTTCAAAGTGTGATACAGAGACCTTTGTCGAAGGCACGGTCAAGGTCCGGGGGGGCAAGGTGATGGATGGTATTCTAGCTGGAAGTGTGACCAGTACAATTGGTTCAAGACGAGTAAGACGCGCGCATGCACACAGACGGCCAGCAGGAAGACGGCCGTGTCCGCACGGCGGTGATGAAGGGGACTAGTGAGAGGAGTCTGACAACCAGAAGGTATGCGAACGATGGAACAGAATGGAGGGGGAAGCGAGCGGTGCGTATGTGACCTCCCGGTAATAGGTGTACCCCGAGGCAGTGCTGGTGAACGCGCTGCTGTCTCAGACCTGATGGGACAGAGGTCTTCCCCTCCCGCTCTGTACAAGAATGTACAGGAAGGTGAAGACGGATGGAACTTGAGGTCCTTGGGAGCCGGTGCCTTGTTTGCGGCTTTTGAGAAGATCGCACCACCCAAAGCCTTTGGGCCGAGTCGAGAGTCCTGAGAAGTGTTGGGGGGCCGCGCGAGATGCCGGTCTACTTCTTACAAGCCGAAAACTTGTTGGATCTGCGTGTCATTGGTGATGGAACTGCCAAATGCTTTTGCGTGGTATTGCACAAAACTGTGTGATGGTGATGCCAAACTTCTATGGCTGTGTTGCGCCCACGTTGCTGAGCGCTATTTCGCTTGGTGGTATGGCGCGCTCGATGTCTGCCATCCTTTTTGGGTGAGGGCTGAGGGCGAGGATGACTAGCCTAGCGCATTGGTGAACCGCTTTTGCTATGTTCTGAATTGTTGCAAGGATTAGCTGAGCGAGTACACGGAGAACATCCTGGAAACAATTGTTGCCTAGCATTAGCCATACGTTAAGGGTGAGTGAGATGGCAAAGAGGAGCTCGATGGACATGTCGGGCGAGTGATGCAGAGCGGGAGAGAGAGGACTTGGGTGACTCGGAGTGCGGCCTCAGCTGAGCTTGGTGAGATGGCCAAAGACAAATGAGAATTGCTCGTGAGCGGAGACCGGCTTCGACACAGGGGTAGAGGACTGAGCCTGTCCGCGAATGGCGGA